TCCCCCAAGGCGGAAAAAACGCGCCAGCCATGTTAATGAAAATGCCGCGGGGGATATTTAAATCCCCCGCGGATTTGCCTATTCCAAAGTCTACATTAGCATCCCTTTTCCGGAAAGGGTGCCAATGTAGACACAGCCCCTGGGTATGTCTATACTAGCTCGTTAGTTCGAGCTAGGTAGGTAAATGAGGGCAAGCGGAGTTGCAAATGAAGCCCGGGATTTAAATATCCCAGGCTTCATTTGCATGTTCCCGGGCGCCGCCATTTTTAAATCCCCCTTAGTCAGAACTAACTGCCCGCAGCTAGACGTGGCAGTTAAACGTTAATTCGAACTAGCTCCTTAGTTCCACGAGGAGTCTGGAGCCCCTGGGAGGCCATGAGCAGGTTTGGGGGGCATCAAGCAGGGCGAGAATTAGGCTTGCTCAGACACAGGCAGAGAGCTAAAGCCCCACCAGCTGGGGCTGAAGCCCATGGCCCTGAGCCACACCATGTGGGGGCTGAAGCTGAAGCCTGAGTAATGCAGCTTTGTGGGAACCCCGTGGTCTGGGGCCCTAGGCAGTTGCCCTGTTTGCCCCTCTCTAATGCCTAAAGAAAAGCACAAGCGGACCATGGAGCTGTTGTTCCATATTGGGGCAGGGGCTCTCAGAAGGAAAGAGGTTGAGAACACCTGCTCTGAACAACCACAATTAATGCTGGGTCTCTACCTGCACAGCGCGGGGCTGGCTCTGTCCACTGTCCCTGGGCCGTGCACTCCAGCGTCTCCGCTCCACGCCGCACAAAGCCCGTCTCGCAGGAGAAGGTGCAGGTGGAGTTATACGCGAAGTCTCCATGCCAGTGAGTGCAGTTTAACCAGCCTCTGCCAGGGGCGGCCAGCGCTGGGCACGTGACAGCTGGAAGAGCAAAGCAGAACTGTACGGACTGCTTCACGAGAGCTGAACAGTCCAGAGCACTGGGAATCCCTCGGCCTTCGCTTACGTTAGCGGGGTGGCTGCAGAGTTTCCTGGAAGTGTTCACGGGGGCTCTGAACACGGGGGTTTATCATTTCCTTGATCTGCTTGTCAGTTCTGTGCGTTTAGGCCTCCTAAGGCCAACCCGGTGTAATTTGTCCCAGAACTTCCCATTGCATGAGCAGAAGCAGCTTCCCCAAGCCAGTCCTGCAGGCAGGGCCGGATTAAGGGGGGGCTAGCCGGGCAGCTGCCCGGGGCGCCAACCTATGGGGGGATGCCTGATTGCAGCTGTAAGGGGCACCGCACGGCCCCCGCCCCCAGGTGCACGGCGCCCCTTACAGCTACAATCAGGCGCCGTGTGGCCCCCGCCCCCAGGTGCACGGCGCCCCTTACAGCCAACAGCAGGGGGCCCGCGGCACCCCCGCCTCCCTTTATCTTACTTTGACGTATGGGTCATTTGTGTGTGTAAGATTAGACCTACGGAGTGGGGAATACTTTGTGGGTTTTCAATGTGTGGATGAGAGGCAGCGAGGGTGTTACCCTCCATGCATGGATAGCAACTGTTAAACAATCTCTTTGGTCCTTAAGTGTGAGCAGTGGTTGGTAGGGAGTGACCTCAATTTCTTAAAAAAGAATAGGAAAACAGGGGCCTGGGGGCAGGGCCGGATTAAGGGGGGGCTAGCCGGGCAGCTGCCCGGGGCGCCAACCTATGGGGGGATGCCTGATTGCAGCTGTAAGGGGCACCGCACGGCCCCCGCCCCCAGGTGCATGGCGCCCCTTACAGCTACAATCAGGCGCCGTGTGGCCCCCGCCCCCAGGTGCACGGCGCCCCTTACAGCTACAATCAGGCGCCGTGTGGCCCCCGCCCCCAGGTGCACGGCGCCCCTTACAGCTACACTCAGGCGCCGTGTGGCCCCCGCCCCCAGGCGCGCGGCGCCCTTACAGCTACAATCAGGCGCCGTGTGACCCCCGCCCCCAGGTGCACGGCGCCCCTTACAGCTACACTCAGGCGCCGTGTGGCCCCCGCCCCCAGGCGCGCGGCGCCCTTACAGCTACAATCAGGCGCCGTGTGACCCCCGCCCCCAGGTGCACGGCGCCCCTTACAGCTACACTCAGGCGCCGTGTGGCCCCCGCCCCCAGGCGCGCGGCGCCCTTACAGCTACAATCAGGCGCCGTGTGACCCCCGCCCCCAGGTGCACGGCGCCCCTTACAGCTACACTCAGGCGCCGTGTGGCCCCCGCCCCCAGGCGCGCGGCGCCCTTACAGCTACAATCAGGCGCCGTGTGACCCCCGCCCCCAGGTGCACGGCGCCCCTTACAGCTACACTCAGGCGCCGTGTGGCCCCCGCCCCCAGGCGCGCGGCGCCCTTACAGCTACAATCAGGCGCCGTGTGGCCCCCGCCCCCAGGTGCACAGCGCCCCTTACAGCCCAGGTGAGGGGGCCACACGGCGCCTGATTACAACTGAAAGGGGCGCTGTGCACTCAGGTGGTGGGGGCCACGCATGCGCCATGTGCCTAGGGAGGAGCCGCGCATGCGCCGCACGCCCGCTGCCCGGGGCGCAGGAATGGCTTGAGCTGGGACTACCTGCACAGCGCGGGGCTGGCTCTGTCCACTGTCCCAGGGCCGTGCACTCCAGCGTCTCCGCTCCACGCCGCACAAAGCCCGTCTCGCAGGAGAAGGCGCAGGTGGAGTTATACGCGAAGTCTCCATGCCAGTGAGTGCAGTTTAACCAGCCTCTGCCAGGGGCGGCCAGCGCTGGGCACGTGACAGCTGGAAGGGAAAGGCAGAACTGTATAAGGAAAATGTGGAGTTGGCGGGGAGTGATCCTTTGGGACGGCAGGGTGCAGTGCCAAGGGAGTTAGTTATTGGGGGTGGGTGAAGTGCCATGGGATTGTGGGTGCATGAGGTCAGGTTCTGGGGCCAGAGGATGCTGGGGATGTGATGCCAGAGGCATTATACTCTATATTACACTCCCATAAGCAAACTACGGAATTGTAGTCTAGATTGAATATCTATCAGGTGTGTGGGCAACTTCTTGAAAAAAAAAAAACCATACTGAGAGAGTAGTTACAATGGCTTGTATCACAGTAGGAGGGCATATCTAGTGTGGTGCAGCTGGAGTCAGGCCTTGGTCCAGTACTATTCAGTATTTTGGTCATGACCTGGAGAGTAAAGTGGACAGGAAGCTTTTAAAATTTGGAATGGACCCCAGGCTGGAAGGGGGTGCAAGCCCTCGGGAGGACATAATTACAGATTAGAATGACCATGTCAGTTTGGAGAAGTGGTCTGCAATCCACAAGATGAAATTCAGGAAAGACAAGAGCAAAGTTCTTCCCTCAGGAAGGAAAATTCCAGTGGCAAATACAAGCTGGGGAATAATCGACCAGTTGGAATCACTGCGGAAAAGGGCTTTTTGTTGGCTCGTATTCCATTTGCAATCCACTGTGTGATGGAGCTTCAGGAAGGGTAATGTCATTCTGGGGTGTACTACGAGGTGTGCTGTCTGGCAGGGGCAGGGGAGGTAGCTATCCCACTCTACTCAGCATTGGGGAAGCTCAGCTGGATACCGTGTCCAGTTATGGGTGCCACGTTTTAAGAAAGATGTGGACAAACTGGAGAGTCCATAGAAGAGCAACACAAATAATCAAAGGCTTAGGAAACCTGGCCTCTGAGAAACGGTTACAAACAGCCATATTCAGTCCTGCGACGAGACCAGGGGTCTGATAACAATCATCAGTTGTGTTATGGGCTGTTATAAAGACAACAGTGATTCTCCATGTGACCGAAGGTAGGCTAAGAAGTAATGGGCTTAATTGCCAGCAGGAGCAATTTATGTTAGACATTAGGAAAACATTTCTACCAATAAGGACAGCTACGCTCTGAAAGCCAGGGCCTAGGCAGGCTGTGGAACCCCAGCACTGGCAGTTGATAAGAACAGGTTGGACAAACACCTGTTGGGCGGTTTCAGTTTGCTTGGTCCCGTTAGTGTAGGGGGCTGGACTGGAAGCCTCTCGAAGCCCCTTCCAGCCCCACACTGCTGGGTGGGGCTCAGGCCTCAGGAGTGGCTGTCGGGGAAGAGGTGCTGAGATAGGAGCACTTCAGGGGGATGAGGTGCCATGACGAGCCATGGTGGAGGTGTGGAGCCAGGGGAGCCAGCTGTCCGAGGGGAGTGCCAGAGACATGGACTGGTGGTTCCTGAATCGCCCTGTTGGTGGGGTGGCTCTGGAGGACGGTGACAGGAAGAGGAGCTAGGGGACAGCAGTGCCAGGAGTTGGGGGCATCCACTTGGCACTGGTGTAAAAGGCTGGATGGGGGGACCAAGGTCCCTTTCTCTCTGTGAAACTTTCCATTGCACATCTGCCCAAGTGGAAGGATCCAGTCCCCTGGCACCCTAGACATCATACACAATGGGCTCCTCTGCACAGGGCAACAGGCATCATCCCAGCTCCACCCTGTATTCTCTGGACACCCCCAGGTACCTTCACAGCGCGGGGCTGGCCCTGTCCACTGTCCCAGGGCTGTGCACTCCAGCGTCTCCGCTCCACGCCGCACAAAGCCCGTCTCGCAGGAGAAGGTACAGGTGGAGCTATACGCGAAGTCTCCATGCCAGTGAGTGCAGTTTAACCAGCCTCTGCCCGGGGCGGCCAGCGCTGGGCACGTGACAGCTGCAGACAGTGAGAATATGAGCAAAGTGGACAGTCAATGTAAGGCCCTCACTCCGCTCTTGGTGGGGCCCTCTGAAGCCAGCTCTCAGCATTCATAGCAGCCTGCCCCCCCACTCCTGTGGAAGTGGCAGAGCCAGGGGCCAGGATAGTGGGGGGCAAAAAGGAGGTGACAGTTGAGCCGACTGCACGAGAGCAGTTTGTGTGCGGGAGCTGGGACAGAAATACCAGTGGCTGCTGTAAATCAGGATTAAGGTGCACAGGTGAGTCAGTGTCAAGGCTCGAGCCTTGGACAGCAATGGTTGCTGCAGAACAATGTGTGGCCATTCGGCTTGACTCCTGGGAGATGAATGGGGTTGTGGTGTGTTAGCAGAGCTGGGATTGGGAGATACCCATGTCCAGAATAGCAGTAACTCCAGGGGAGTCAGCAAAGCCCCCGGCACGTGTAACCGCTATGATATTAAGCAATTATACAGTTCTATTTTAACTGCACTTTTACATCCCTAGTAGTCACCCCTTGGTCAGTTCCGAGTCCAAGTTGGACTGGTTTTGTGTGGCACATGCTAGTATTTCTGCAATAGCCTCACACCCAACCCTGCAAATCAATTCTTGTAGTTCCAGCTGTCAGAGATTTGCCATGCTGTTATGCATAAGGCTAGCTGAGGCTGTGAGGCAGGGTTAGCAGGTTACGCCCTAAACACATCTGGTTTTGCACAACCCTGTGCCTCCCTACTTATCTGATCTTGGTTTTTTATCGTGTTTCCACCCTCAGATCCTCTGCTCTAACCACTGCTGCGAGCCTCTGCTCTGGTTAGCAGGCTCCCACAAAAACATCTTGGTGCTTTCTTCTGACCCTCCCCATTGCCTAGAGCAGGGTGGGGGATCTAAGGCCCAGGGGTCTGATGTGACTCCGGCTTGCCTGGATCCAGCCCGAGGCTCAGGGCTCCCTCTCAACATTGGGAGCCCGCGCTGGTGTTCCAGTCCCTCCACTGCCTCATCGCGGTGCTGGAGCACCCAAAATCTACCAGGCTCTGGGGTGTGTGGAGAATGTGGGGAGCATCTTTCTTCTTCTCATCGGGGGTCACGTCAGAGAGGGTTTGGGGAGTTGTTTTACAGCCCCCAACTGATTTTTCTGGGCCTCAGCAGCCCCTGGCCCAGAGTGTCCTGCCAGAATGGATCGGTGTAGATACAGGGCACGTAAAGGTGGAATGTGTGCCTCTTAGGACAATGCAGGTGAGACCACTACAGGAAGCCTGTGTCCAGTTCTGGGTATGCAAAATTACAACTGCAACATTAGAAAAGTTTCGGGCGAAAAGCAACAAGGATGATTCTCCTTTCCATTTCCCCAGGCCAGCTATCATTAATGGCCAGTGAGGCTGCAGCTGGAGAGAGTCATGTCATGGGGCTGTGAGCATCTCCCGGGCTCCCTGCAAGCAGAAGGCAGACAAGAGACACCCAGCCTGTATCAGTGTTACAGAAACACCTATGGCAGAGCTCTGAGTGCACCGGGGCACTCAGTCCCCTGCCATTCACTATGCAGCAGATGCACAGACCTCTTTTTCCATGCAGTTAGCAACCATTCGTCCCAGAAGCAGGGATCCACTTCCCAGCTGGGAAGGCAAAGTGGAGCATAGAGCCAGCTATGCAAGTAAACAAATAAAGCAAGAAACTTGGGAAAGCAGCTAATAACTAGCAGCTAGACTAGTTGTCAAAGCAGAATTTCCTACACTGAGTCTGCCAAACATGCTATGTCACAAAGGGTGGATTTCTCCTCCACATCATCAGTGTGAGATTCCACTGAAATGGCCAGTCCATGCACCCTAGCCTACAATGTCTGTATGGGACTCCTTGGACACACTGCTGAAATATGACAGGTGTGCGTGCGTGGGGGGGTAGGGGGGGGCGGCGGAACCTCAGCCAGCCAGCTGATTTGGGTGGTCCCAGTGATTGCTGTGGAGCTTCCCAAGCTCAATACATCAAACCACGTACATTCACCTGGAGCTCTGTTAACAATCAACCATGTAACAGGATGGGGGACCAGCCATAGACGATACTTGCATACAGCGGTGAAAGTAACTTAACATTTCTTACAACAGGTACTGTCCTATTGCAGCCTGGGTCCCTGCCACCTCTTTAAATCGCTCCCATAGCTTGCCAGAGCTGCACACCAGGTCACACCCACGTACCTTCACCTCTGCTTGTGCATGTAAAGCAGATAACACGGAGATGAGTGTGGCATAAACCCCAGAAGGATCGAAAGATTAGCAAGAGCTCATGACCCATCACTGGCTGTGAACGCCCCATGTGAAGCCAAAGACATTACATCCTGAGGCTGGAGCTGTACAAAAGGGCTCACTACCCAACTCCCAGTCTGGCTGTTCCCCACGTAGGCCCTGAGAATCCCACTGTATAATCAGTGGAGAGGGGACAAAAGTAACTGCTGGCACCCACCTGCACACTCTGGAGGCACTGCTGTCCAGTTCCCCGATGCCAAGCACTGCAGTGTGTCCAGCCCTCGCAGTTCGAACCCCTCCGGGCACTGGAAGGTGCATGTGGAGTTGTAGCTAAATTCCCCCAGTGGGTGGCTGCAGGCAGGCCCCGGGCCAAGGCTCTTGCAGGTCACAACTACAAGGACATACAGCATCAGCAGCTAGAAGGGTGGTGATGGGGCACAGGGTGGGCGCCAGGTCTCAGGCTCTGTGGAGCACAGCCCAGCCAGCCAGCCAGCAGCTGCAAAGTCCAGCACAGTGCTATCCGTAACATGCTGGCTCCAGACCCGTAGTCCACGACTGGGCTCCCACTCAGCTGCAGTGGAAACGTGCTGTAAACAAGCCCTGACACGCCTGCAGGTAGCAGTGAGCTGAGCAGTCAGGTACAAGTCCCCACACCACAGCGGAGAGACTCTGGGCTTGCTGCTCGCCTACCAAGAGGCTCGGCCTCCCATTTAGGCCTGGGCCACGGCTCAGCCCTAAGACCAGAGCAGGACTAAATCTGGCCCATGGCTGCCCTAGGGAGCAGGCTTCCCTGCTGAGAAAGGCAGGACTGCCAGGCCCTGCTTGAACAGCTGCAAGCCTGGGGGTGGGGGAAGAGGCTTCATGCCAGGGGAAGGCAGAATACTGCTGGGCCGAATCTGGCCCACCAAGCCACAGGATCCAGCCCACAGACCCTCCCCCACTGCGATCCTTAGGCACGTAGCAGCCCCTGGTTTAAATTCAGGGCTGCTCCACCTGCCTCTCTGCTCCAGAGAGAGGGGAGGGTTCCCTGTGATCTCCCCAGCCCAGCCCAGCCCTCAGCTCCTATTGTCTAGACCAGCCAGGCAATAGGAACTGACCCCAGCAACCAGCCAATAGAAGCTGAGAGATTGGCCTGGAGGCAGCAAAAGCCTCTCCCCCACCTGAAGGTGAGAGCCAGGTGGAGGCAGCAGCCTTTTATTGTTACGCAGGCTGGGCCTGGGGCAGCAGGAGCAGGAGCAGGGAGGGAGTCCAGCCTGCTGCCCACAAGACAGGTAAGTGCCTCCCACTAGAACCTGCCTCTGGCACCTTCCCTGGTCAACATCTAAGCCCTCTGCACCCCTTTGCCCCAAGTCATAACTCCCTCCCAAACCCTGTACCCCCTAGGACACTCCTCTCTGGCCAGAATCCTCTCCTACACCCACACTTCCCCCAGGACCCTATACACCAATCCCCTGACCCAGGTCACAACCCGTCCTCAACCCAAACTCCCTCCCAGACTCTGTATTCCCCCCTACCCCAAGCCAGATCCTCTCCTGCACCCATACTCCCTCCCTGGCTCTGCACCCCAGCCCCGATCCAGGTCACAGCCCCCTCCTTCAAACTCCCTCTCCTGCACCCCAGTCCTTAACCCCATGCCACCTCCTGCACAGAAAAGTGAGGCCCTTGACTACTTCCCAGAATCTTGGAGTGGCCCCCCAGCAAAATTATTGCCCACCCCTTCATAAGAGGAAGTTGTGTACCAAATTTGGTAGTCCTAGCTCTTACATTTAGAAGAAGTTGTTGAACAAACAGACTCACAGACACATCCAGACAGACAGACAAACTCTCTAAAATATATAGTAGATTAGAATGTATAACACTCAATTACTATAGTGTTCAGCTAACTGAAGCAATGGCTTTTCTCTTCTTTTTCTTTTCTCCAGCTGGCTCTATAAATTCTTCATTAAATACCTGGAGAAGCCCATTCACAGGAGCTTACATACACACGTAAGTTTTTATAAATTGTTTAAAGGGAGAAACTTAAGGAACACATGAAACTGCATCATCTCAGAGGCAATCTTGAACTTGATTAAGGAATAACCTGATAACTAGGAAAAACTACAACCTAATTCTGTACTGACCAGCACCAGATAACCCTAACCCTGTGCCCCCTTCCTGCACCCATTTCCCCTCCCAGTCCCTACCCCAGGTCACAACTCCCTCCCTTTCCACACCCAGTCCTGCGCACCAATCCCTTTCTGCACCCAGCCTCTATCCCAGACCCTGCGTCTCCTCCATTCGTATCATGGAAGAGTGTGGCCCTTGACCACTCACTCAGTTCTTGAAGTGGCCCCCATCCAAAGTTATTGCCCACCCCTGCCTAAGACAGACTGTGCAGCATGGGGGTGTAGGCCAACCCTAAGGGAGGAAATCGGGGCTAGACTGAGCCGGGGCAGGCAGTGGGTGATAGCAACAGAGGGGTCGGGGCTGGGGAGGCAACTCCCCCTCTTCCTGCTTAGCCAAGGAGTAACAGCTCCTCTGGCTGTGCTCATGCTCTCCCCGGTGACGAGGAGCAGTACTGAGGGGTGCCCAGGCCTTGCCCCGGAGGGGGACCCTTCAGAAAGTACATGCAGTGACTGCAGCAGGCCCTGCCGCTGGCCCTCACCGTGTTCACACTCAGACCCGTAGAAACCAGGGTAGCAGTCACAGGTGTAGTTCCCGATGGTCTCCACACACTCCCCACGCTGGCTGCAGGAGGAATGCTGGCAAGACGCTGCAGAGATATGGTGGAGGTTAGGATGCGCTCACAGCTCCATAGACACAGATCACAACCCACCCTCCTGCCTGGATCCTGCACTCCAGCGCTGCTGGATTTCTTCCTTGCAGGATTCTTTCAGAGTCTGTTAAAGTCATGGGAAAACCCCTCCCTGCAAATAGCCTTGTCTCAGGCTCTTCCTGGGCATTTGGGGCCTAGATAATACTTAGTGCAGCCAAGCTTTCCCAGCCAGGGGGCATTGGCCCCTTGCCAGCAGCGTGGGGCAGCAGCTGCTTTGCACGCATTATCACATAGCTCTTGGACCCACAGGCACTGCCTGGGTGGGTAGGCTGCCCTGGAGCCATTGTGTGGATGCTCTCTTGCGCAAGAAAGCTCTGATGGCCATTTTAGCCATAGGGGGTTCTTGCGCAAGAAATTCCTGTTGCCTGTCTACACTGCCGTCTTCTGGAAGAGCTCTTGCACAAGAGGGCTTATTCCTCCTGGGGAGAGGATTATCTCTTCCGGAAGAAGCCCTGTTTTCCGGCGCTGTACTGTAAATGTACTTGCGCAAGAACGCGCATGCAGTGTAGATGCTCAGCACGTTTTTGCGCAAGAACAACCATTCTTGCACAAAAAACCTGCAGTGTAGACGTAGCCTTGTAGTAGGGTGTCCGGCCCTTTAAGGGTTAGTGGCCTGGGCCAGCCCTAGTGAAGAGGTAGACACAGCTGAGCAGGGGTCAGCTGACGTCCCTGGATGAGTGGCAGGAAGCTGGAGAGAAGGGGATGCTCAGGGAGAGACAGGCCAATTGCTGTAATCAGCAAGAGGCTTCTGTAGGAAGCTGGTTTACTTGGAAGGAATCCAGAGTCAGGCCTGAAGAAGGCTGAGAGCCAAGGAGAACAGAATCCAGGGCATAAGGAAAGACTCCAGCCAGGCAAGGACACAGCCCTCAAGGGTTAGGCTTGGGCTACATGCTGTCTGAAATCATGGGAGGCGGCCAGCCCACTGACACTCTTCTATGCACAATGAGGCTGTGTCTAGACTGGCAAGTTTTTCCAGAAAATCAGCCGCTTTTCCGGAAAAACTTGCCAGCTGTCTACACTGGCCGCTTGAATTTCTGGAAAAGCACTGACGATCTCATGTAAGATTGTCAGTGCTTTTCCGGAAATACTATGCTGCTCCCGTTCGGTCAAAAGTCTTTTTCTGAAAGACTTTTGCGCAAAAGGGCCAGTGTAGACAGCACAGTACTGTTTTCCACAAAAAAGCCCCGATGGCGAAAATGGCGATTGGGGCTTTTTTGCGGAAAAGCGCGTCTAGATGGGCCACGGACGCTTTTCCGCAAAAAGTGCTTTTCCGGAAAAGCGTCCTGCCAATCTAGACACGCTTTTC